TTCTCATACTCACTGAAACATCTGTTCGCACCTCCAGCTCCCAGAAAACCACGACATAATCATATGCAACTGAATTCCACTTTTTATCACAGGATGTATATTACACAAAATAGATCCTTGAGCAATCCACGTCATCTATCCATTATTATCACCATCCTCATTGTAATAGAATATTAATTATGATAAGAATAATTAGCTTCTCTGTTTCTCTTTTGGGAATAATACTACATTCTTCCGGACAAATTCTTTTCTGAGGCACTGATTTCTTCTTACCTTCTGATAAGCAAAAGAATAACTGAAATAATCAAATAAATCATTCGTCTCAGTCCGAATTGGTCTGAAGTGAAACTGAAACCCCATTAAACAACATTTCCCCCACTGTTGTTTACTCTGTTTGTATCAGCTGAATAAAAGCAGTGGAATCGTTGTGTAAATTATGAAATATCTTTGAAATTGGATGTTTTTTGTCTGGAGGAAACACGTCGGCGATTGACTTTTACTTATAATACGTCCAGATGAAATGATGTGTGAACAGATGTGTAGTTTTCAGGTTATCGACTTAGTGTTGTAACGGTCAATTCATTTGTCTCAGTTTGATCTATTAAGTGAACCATGGTAGTCACTTAATGATGAAACTAATTAATTCAGAAGCGTAGTATAATTAATTGTGTTTGCTTAGTTTTTTTGTCAGCAAGAAATAAACCATGAGTAGCAGCTTTTCAGACATACGATTTTAGGTAGCCTACTATCTCCAATGATTTACCTGATTGCGGTAGACTGGATAATGCGACAGACAGGGGACAGTGACGAGACAGGCATAAAATAGAAGCACACAAAAAACTTGGACTTCGCCGATGACATATTTATATCTGATTTCCCACAAACTGGAAGATGTGCAAGTGAAAAGCGACAAGTTGGCTGAAAAAGAGAACATAGAGAAAACAGAGATGATGGAGAATCCTGCCCAACAGCAACAGCAGCAGCTACTACATCAGACAACAATCAGCCAGCATAAATATGGGAAATCTGGAAGAAGCAACCGCTTGTACCCACCTACCTACCTACATGAGAAGCATCGTTTCAACTACAGGCGCTCAGAACTGATGGGGATATGAATGCGAGATTGGGAAAGCAAGGCAAGCTTTCATTACTCTCAAGTCTGTGTGAAGGTCAACAGAACTCAGCGTGAGAAACAAGATCCGGATTTTCAACTCCAATGTGAATTCAGTCAGTGCTACTATACGGAAAAGAGACTTGGCGCGTCATGAAGAGCACACAAACAAACCACAGACCTTCATTAACAGTTGTCTTCGCTCAATACTCAAGATCAGATGGCCGGCGAGAAAAGATCAGCAACAGGGATCTCTGGCAATGAGCAAATCAACCACAGGAACCGACTGTGCAACAAATATTCAGGAAAAAATGGAGATGGATTGGCCATACTGAGAGAAAACAGACCTTCAAGTGACCTCACATGGCAGGCCATTGCTCGAGTGGAACTCAAATAAGCAGTGGCGAGTTGGTCGTCAGTGCAGGGGTGACATGCAGGAGGTCGTGTGAAGAGGAGATGAAAGCATGTGATCAGATGTAATAATAATAATAATCACTTTATTCCACAACAATAACAATTTACAGCATGGAATTTTCAGCGTTTTTTTTACATATTGCAATGGTTTAGCTCTGTTTATAATTATATAAATGTATAAAATAAAATATTGATAGTTAATAGGAAAAAATAAAACCCCAACAAAATCACATCATTGTTAGGTCATAGTGAATAATAAATAAATAATATAACAAATGACACATGCATTAATATGCATCATTACATTTTATAGTTTAGTTAATGATTTAAAAGTTGTAAAAGTTCTTTTCTGATATTTGTCTCTTCACACAATACTCGTGCCAAATATGGAACGGTCGAATTTTTATATTTTGTAGTACGAGCATAAATATTTATGAAATTTCTTCTGGTCTTACCCGAAGAGATACAAGGAAACAATTGTGAATAAAGAGGATGTTCACTATCAGATAAGATAACTTTAGCCAAGTGTTTACAAGAATTCATATGCCTATTGACAACAGTGTCATTTAGTTGAGTCAAAAGGATAGCACTGACCCTACTTACAGCCCTCAATGTTCTTCGTAGTATTATATGGTCTTTCTTGAGTAGCCCAGGGAAGAATAATGGAGAACAATAAAGAATGATGGGCAAAACACATGAATTAATAAATTGTATGAGAAGAGATTGGGTTATACCTGAGTGCCTCAACTTCTTTATGTAATAAGTCAGACGGAAAACTTTCTTAGAAACTATAAGAATATGAGACGACCAGCAAAGGTTTGAAGAGAAACTAATGCCAAGATAAGAAACACTTGACTTACTCTCTATCATGGTACCATCAATATTACAACAATCATGAGATTGGATCAATCCATGCATGTCTTTTTCACTTCTCAAGCTGAAATCAACAGTGTTACATTTAGTTGGATTTAGTTTAAGACCATTTGAGCCAGACCAATCCTTAACTTCAGCTAAGAAGCCATTCATATGGGAACAATCCGATGTGGAAACTACAGGGACAGAAACGGTCAGATCATCAGCATACTTAATGAAGTTAACTTTTGGTGAGTTCGGAAGGTCATGCAAAAAGAAAGAGAAAAGAAATGGAGAAAGTACTGCACCTTGAGGCACACCACTTTCAGTTAGTTGAGAAGTGGAGCGCTTTCCAGCCAAAACAGTATGCTGTTTCCTATCCTTAAAATAAGAAGGCAGCCATCTAGTTCCCCAGGACTCTAAAAGCTGTTCGAACGAACTTAGCACCCTTATCAAGGAAGGAAACAATATTGTGGTATAGTACAATGGCTGCATCTAATGTACTTCTTCCACACTTATGAGCAAACTGCTTAGGGTCACTAAAAGCTTTTAAAGAAGGTTTAAGAATATTCAAAAGAAGTTTCTCCATAGTTTTCGAAAAATGAAATGTTATAGCGATCGGTCTAAACTTTATACCTGCTCCAGAAGATGATTTCTGAACAAATACAACCTTGATTTCTTTCCAGTCAGCAGGTATTGTTTCCCTGTTAAATGATGCGTTCAATGAAAATTCATGAAAATCAGCAGGAATCACTGAACAGCTGTTTCGTCGGCCTAGTTTTGGACTCTTCAGCAGTACGCACTCACCGTCAGCGTTCAAACCCAGGACCTTCTGGTTACAAGGCGAGCTAGCTCGTAGACCATTAAGCCACTGGGACCCGATCCAATGGCCAGCCCACGAATTCTGACTTCTGCCAATTCATGATATAGCGCGACCCCTAGCCAATGTCTTCGGCAAGTATTCGTCGTCACACCCGACCTGCTGCCCTGTTACCAGAAGGTCCTGGGTTCGAACCCCAGTGGATGCGTACTGCTGAAGGGTCCAAAACTAGGACGAAACAGCTGCCAGTACTCCCAGGTTTTCCAATGGTTCTCTAACCAATGTCAGTTCATGATGAAATCCTGTAATGAAAAATATAGTTTGGCTTCCGTGTCTCGCCTTCTGTTGTTACAGTATATGTATTTATACACAATCAAATAAATAAATCAGGTCAAATCTCATAAGTTACGTAATACTGAAGGCGAAGTGGATAGATAATCAGAGTTTAAATAAATATTGTAAAAGTACGCAGTAAATGAGAAATAAGAAAGAGTTGGAAGTTTTAATTAGAATTCACCTAGGCTGGTGGAGATACAGAAAGGCAGAACAAACCTCTTTTGTGTCCAGAGACTATGACTGTTCTCTCGAAGTTCGATAGCTTCAGTTGCGTGTAAAAGGTGGGTTCAAATCGCGTTCGAAAGGTTCGATGAAATTCGATAGATAACCTTCAAGTCACTTCTCTTGTCTGCTTGATGACAACTGTTAATCGAATAAGAGAAAATGCAAATTCTTGTAGATATTATTTGGCCTTTTTTGAACCCTGAACGAAGATGCTCAATATTGTTGGACATCGGTTTATTGATACGGCGTCATAATTTGCAAATTAATGTTGATTATTAGCAATAAATTGTGCTCGGAAGGTCATACAGTTGTTCTTAATACTGTATCACTGTGTGGCTTATCACGTAAACTTATCTCATATGAAGTAATCGCATATCCAGTTGCAATATTCAAATGAGTAGGATTGCGTAGATTCTGATTTTGTTATTCATGGAGGGATTTACAGATCAGTCATTGTGCTATACTTAATCTAACAGGATTAAATTAGGATTTTGTATGGTAGTACGATTTGCTTAATTTCTCGTGTTGTTGGCTGAATCTGAAAATGTCTCACTACGCTACGCATCACGCATGTCGGTTCACCTCGTCCACAAACCGAATTCTCCACTGGAAATAGTGTCAATACTTGAGTACCAATGAGATGCTCACTAGCGACTGGCCATATTCAGGTAGGTAGTTACCTGGGTTTTACTGGGATGTCGTGGCCAGTAGGATGCAGCAGGTCAGGTGTGAGGATTGGATTGGGTCCCGGTGGCTTAGTGGTGTACGAGCCATCTCGCCCTGTAACCAGAAGATCCTGGGTTCGAACCACAGTGGGTGGGTGAATGCTGCTGAAGATTCCCAAACCAGGCTGACGAAACAGCTGTCCAGTAATCCCTGCTGGTTTTCCAATGGTTCTCTAACCGATGCCAGCTCATGATGACATCCTGTAACCAATCAATAAAATCCCTACAAAGCAATACTTGAATAATGTCAACTAACAGCTTCAGATTTTTAGACAGCCATTGAATAAGTATGGTAAAATATGAATAATTTACAGAATCTCAAGTTCAACCTTTTCTCAAAAACAATTTCTGTTGCCTTCTTTACTCCTCTTAACTTAAACGACAGTATTGATTTCATTCAAGAGGCATTCTTGTTCATAATGAGTAATGGTCAAAGGTAAACAATTCAATAGAGCTGTTGTAGATACAACAATTTATTTATAATAATAATAATGTTTAAATATCATCCACCACACTAAGTTGTGCAGTGACCAATCGAAGAACTCCTGTCTATCACACCTGTACCGAATTCAGCCTATCAAATTGAATATGACCAATAAGTAGTCAAGTAGAAGTGTAGAATAAACCACCAGAGGACTGATATTCGTGCTATATGAATATTTTATATCACATGAAAATGTAAGTGTCGTATTTTACACACACACCACACGAACACACACACACACTTTGAACACGACGACACAATTAATGCTGAATTATATCATTATATTCATTTGAAGTGAACTTTGATCACTTCAAATACACATATATATGTACCTTTATGTTGCACAATCACTCCACTCTGTTCAACCCGATCAAATCAAGAAACCTATTATGAATAAATCCTTAGGCTGTTTATTGCTGTTGTTGTTGTTATCGATTTATTTATTGCCTATTTGCTTCTCAGAGCAGCTGGACAAGAATTACTTTGCTGACACAGTCAAAGCCAGATGCGCTCAATGGGCGATTGAACATAATGTTCTTGAGTAAGTTATTCCCAACAGTTATATTCACTGAAATATGACATTTTTTGAGGAAAGCACCTTTGTCTGTATCATGAAGTATAATGGTTTACGTATTTTAATAACAATTACGTTTTGCCTCCACATTTGACCTGAAACTTGGTATGTACCTGAGATCTCAGATTTTCAATGTTAGATGTGAATATCTTCCCTGAAATTTAGTTATTCAGTTACTGTACAAATCACTCAAGAGAGTATTTACCTTCCCAGTTTGTTTGAAAGTATCGTTTTCAGTGTTTAATTAAAATTCCTGATTCCAACTGTGCTATTCTGTTAGCCACAGTAGTTCATTCCCACAGAGGCTTAAGGCGCCCTTAAATTCAATCGTTTATCATACCTATTCCAGAAGTTATATGTCTAGTGAAGTATACAGTGGCGATTGAGTTTATTTCAAGCGACAATACCACTTACACTGATAGGATTTTGAAAATTTAATGAGACACTATGAATACCTCTGTAACACATATCCGAATGGCATTTATATATATGTCTTTTTGATGTAGTTGTATTCTCTGAGCTGGATGGTTTATTTGCGAAGCTTTCATTTCCCTACTAGGCAGCATACTTCAAAATGAAGTATACGCTGAAGATGTTGCTTAGTAGGATATGAAAGCTTAGCAAATAAACCATCTAGCTCGGAGAACACAACAACATCGAAATCTGCCATTTGAACTACAAATCTTTTCTAATATAATATAAAGCTTGCATTCATAGTTGCAACTAAACATGCCTGATACTTCATTATGGATAAGATTTTATTTGGATAAATCAGTGTTATACAGTGATATTGACTGAAGAATATCCAGACTACTGAACTAATATTCTTAGTAATATGGTGAAAATGTTGCCACAAATGAAAACTTATTTTGTTTTAATAAAGTCTAAGTTTTGTCTTCACAATTGATTCTAAACTTGGTATGTTCCTGAAATCTCAGATTTCAAATTTTAAATGTGAATATCTTCCATAAAATTTAGTTATTCACTTGCCATACATTTCACTCAAGGGATTATTTACACACACACACTTCTTTTTGACGTGTTTAGTTTGCTTCAGTATATCAATCACAAAGAGGCTCAAGACACCCTAGTGATTTGGGCTGATTTACTGGACTTACTCCAGAATTTCTATGCACAGCTAAGTCCACAGTGGTGATCTACTTAATTTCATCAGTATTAGCACTAACAGTGATGTTATCTGAAAAATCAATGAGACAGTACGAGTACCTCTCTGACACATATGCGAATGGCATTTATTTAATATATCGCTTGTATTCACAGTATCAATGTAACATGCCTGATACTATTTACATGTCACTATTAGTACATTGATATAAATATAAAACTTGAGCCATGTGGTAGAGTATAATTTCACTATGCATAAGATTTTATTTTGAAGTCACACAGTGTTATGCAGTAATATTAACTGATGATTCCATCTCGAGCACAAACTATTGCTACTCATAATCATATCAAGGTACTCATCACACAACTTTCTTGCTTCATTTATATACAACAGTAGAAATTGATGAATACATTTTAAAACTATTCATTATCCTCTGATTTGACTGGTAGGGGTAACACCTTCCATATCTATGGTATTTGCGTTGAGGAATTTCTCTTGCATGTTTTGGGTATAGACACGATGAACAAGGATTCAGTAATCAACCTTTTATCTTCGTGAGATCAACCATTCTAACCTTAGGTAAATTCCTATTTTATAATAATCTCACTACTCCTGCGTGATCTACTAGTTTGACTTATGTAGTTGACTTAATTCACAGACATTGCAAGGTATTTTGTAAATTGTATTATCTTGTTTAATTGGACCAGCCTACACAGTCCTTTAGCCTACAGAACTTGTTCTACCTGAGTGAGCTTTTAGTTTTGAATGCCAGTCTAATTCCTGCTTTATTGTGAATCCTACCTAGGGTCTCAGGTGACTCCTTCTTGTATAGTGTAACTGTAGATTGATTGGTAACACTAATATTATTTCTCAGTGTACTTTATCTTATGTTGATTTTATTCAAATGTCTAATCATCAGTTTTACTCATGTATATAAACGAAGCAAGAAAGTTGTGTGACTGCCTTGATATGATTATGAGTAGCAATAATTTGTGCTCGAAACGTGGTCATCAGTTAATATTACTCCATAACAACACTGTGTGATTTATCAAAATAAAATCTTATCCATAATGGAGATTTATCACATCCAAGTGAAATCCCTGTGTAAGAATTCTGAACCACGATTAAATCTTTGACTTTTGAAAGTATAATGAGACATTCATAGAAGAAAAAGTTACCAATTCATCAAAGATTTGTTGAAGAGTAATCGAGAATACTGAATCAATAGTTTTAGTAATATTGTGAAAATGTAATCAAAAACGAAAACACATTTTGTTTTCACTTTTATTATTTGAAGAGTTTTAAAATTTAGTTGAAAAAAACAAAAGCAACTAACACTTGTACATCAGGATATTTAATCCATTGATAAACGTGATTCAGGCTGTCAGATTTTGTCCGGATGCTGAGAAAAGGCGAAACACTTCGTGAATCGCTGACTGCATATGAATAACTGTCAACCTAAGGATGCTTTCTTTCAGTACCACCTGATACTAAGAACCATGTAATATTAAAGTTGAAAACTCCCTCAAAATGACAAAACGTTGTCAAGGTATTCAGTGAGAGATATGTCACTTGTCAGTAGCGAAGTTAAACACTATGGCTTCATCAGAAGCTTCTACTCACTCAGTAATCTGAATCACTCACAATAATAATAATAATAAAAATAATGAAGATTAAATCATGAAATTCAAAAATGTCATTCATATGCATTTTTGTTCAACACTTTTCAATCATAAAAGCGTAGACTGCGATGACATATGGCAATCGTTTGAAGAGATTTCACATGGTGCTCGTAATCAGTCAGAATGTGTTATGCAACCCACATCATACGATGCATTTGTCGAGAAGGCATTCAAAAAACAACCAAAGATAGAAAATGTAAGTATACGTCACCTTCAGCTTGTAATAAATGTGTATATAAAATGTAGAGCTTTGTGAGAAGTAATTCTGTCTGACCATTCATTCATTTCAAGATGCATAGAAGTTTAATCTTAATTTAATATTTTTCAAATATTAAGTGTTGCTTTAGTAAACGCAGATATTTTGACAAAACTAAAGGTGACTTTTGATGAGGTTTGGGTAGTTAAGAGAACACTAAATCAGGATGGTTAACGTGTGCCTTGAAAAATTTATCGTTGGTCAGTATTTAAGTTCTACAATACAGTCAGTGTTTCGAATCCCCCGTTTGGACACTTTTCTGTCCCAAGTAATTCCCCAAAGTATTTCATTTTTTAACATATCTCTTCATGATGGATATCATCTAGTGATGAGTTAACGACAATGTAATCTCTATCCCACTTCAGTTTATTCTTGTATGTCGTCGGCAGCAATCATGAAATCTAACTTACTAAAAACACAGGAGTAAGCTTCTTATGATCTTCACTATGGAGTTAAATGCAACTGCACTTGATAGCTGATAAGCTCGGTTGATTTCTAACATGTTACACTTTATGTAAAGGGGGTGATAAATCAGGGCGAAATCGCAACTTCAAGAGACAAGATTTTGGGGTAGAGCTAGACACTATTTTTCTGACACTGTGCTGAGAATGAACGAAAGCTGATGACACGTGAGAAATGCATACTAATCTAATGAATATCTACAATTTAAAAAGCAAAACCCTGACATTAGTTGCACTAAAATAAAATTTAAAAAACATTGGTCAAAAAATTAATTTGAATAATTCAAAAGAATTCATCAGTTAGATTATATTGCTTGAAATCGTCCACCGAATTCGGCTCAAAAGATGTTTCATTGAACAGCATCCACATCCCATTACAACACTGTAAATGCTGAAAAAGGAATTTCTTGTCAACCTGCAAATAATCTACCACACCTTATAGTATCTTACTCAGTCCCCTGTAGATAAACATCCTGTTAAAAGATGGAATTAAATTCGCTATTGTGTCGAAAATGATGAATAACAGAATTCCTTAACATACCTTGAGCAGACAAATTAGTAACTTGCAACGACAGAAGACAAGGGCCAGGAAACAGATCGTTTATTAAGAAAATCAAGAGATATTTATAGATTTTTATGTTAGTGGGGAAGCATCAACTTCTGAATGGTTTTTTTCTCGCTGAAGGTTATTCTGTACTGCTAGTGGCTGTTTCTTAAAAAGTCAAGCCATACATCGGCGAATCGTATTTGCACACGTTAGGTTTGCTGTGATCGGTTGGTGAATTCCTCTAGGTAAGGCTTTGTTGTTTTTTTCCCATGACCTCAATTTGAGGCGTAAACATTGTTGCCTATGATTCTGGCTTGCAGACAGCTATCACCGCAACTAATATATCTTGAATAATGGCGAGCACAAACGCCGAATTTCTAGCCTGCTACATCTCATTGAAAAAGGTTTGTCTAACAAAATCTAGGACGCATTTTGTTTTCTTCTCTCTGATATACGTAAATAATGTGGCTGTGTTGATGTCCTAACTTTGTCAGCCCAGTACTAGGTACAGAATGATGTCTCTCAAATCTGGGCAACTATGTGATAGGGAGACACCAAGTTTTCTTATCACAGCCAGTATATTAAGGCAAAAGTTTCATGTTCAGCTTCTAACTTAATAGGCCAGGCCCTAGCTTTTATACGGGGTAACGAGTAATACTATAAATCAGTATAAGCGACACTCTCTTGCAGTCAAGTTACTGGTTCTTCAAGTGGTGAGATGTTTCATATCATTTGTACCTACAAATACAGAATTCGTTTTAAAATACTTATCTTTCGTTATGTGATTTTATGTCTAGCAGGCACAGTTTATTTTATGTTATGCATCCTGAGTATTGGCAACAAACTAGTTTATGCATCTGTTATCATATTTTTTATGGATACCATAGACTATTTTCTGCGAAAAATGTTGAGGTATTATTAACTTTGCAACTGGAACAGAGTTCGTTTAAATCGTCTACCTCAAACTAAACTGTAGGTAATCAGGTTAGGATTAATATTATTTTACAAATAGGTGATTGTACTCAATATCGACACAATGGATGAATGCTCCAGTAATACTCTTCACTGGTTTCTTGAAAGCATAACCCTACCAGTACTAATTATATTGCAGTAATCTAAATCATAACAACAAACAACTGCCTGTTATGCATACACATAATAGTGATTTCCGTGTTCCATATTTGCATGTATAAAGATAACTGACGATGTTCCGTAAATCTTCAAACCAGACTGTCCTCTGAGCATGAACGAGCAACTACGTAGAGGTTGAGACAACAGTTCACTGGACTTAACAACGGATGGGATGTGTAAAACACACATATGTGAACAGCTTCAGACAATGATTTGAATGTGCTCGGAGAATTTTCGAGTTCACTGAAGATAATCATGAGGGCGAATAAGAATCATTGCTAATGATAAAACAAATACTATTCCTTTCGTAATATTTTTGATAGATGATATTTACCTGTGGACTGTTTATTAATGACCAGTCTTCATTAGAAAATTAAGTTTTACAAAGATAGTTTAAATAGTCACCTGGTATTGCTTCACATAAAAACGTTTCAGGGCACCTGAAATCACATCGGTAGTTTAGGTCATTGTCTTACATTCAGCCTCCTACAGCATTAAAGTTAAACAAATAGATTGTAACTTGTATTCAGTTTCACTGAATACCTACATCACTTATTCGACGTTAACTAAATAACTGTAAAATGAAAATGCATGGATGGAGTTTTAAAATTTACACGTGTGAAAAATTCTTTTATTGCATTAAATGAATGTAGGTGATGGAATTACGTGGTGGAATATATAAGTAGAGTAGCCATTTTCAATCTATTTAACTTCATTACATTAAAGTGTCAAATTACATGAATTTCATCATTATTCACATATTCTGCTATAATATCACCTACAGGCACACTTTTATTCACAAGCACTCGATGTTATTCGTGCAATGTGTAAACGTCTTGGAGAATGCTCAAGTCTAGAAACCACACTTCCAGGTTAGTGAATATACACATACACACACAGTCGTCTGTAATTTTTATTGATTCATACCGCTTGACGATATATTCCACGCTTTCATTAAATCAGTAGATGACGTTAATAAAGTAGCGGTACCTCTGGTGATAAGATACATTTGGTTACCTGCTTCTCAAAACACCTCCAAAAGTGGGATAAAATTTTAATACTTAGACGTGCACTCATAAATTCCTTTGAATGATTTCTTGTGCTGTTTATGACGCGTCAAATCTCCAATCCGTATAGCAGCACTGACTTCACATTGAACTTGAAAATCCACATCTTATTTTTCATTATGAGTGCTGTTGCTCTATCTCCATACAGACTTGAGAGTAATGAAGGCTTGTCTTGCTTTCACGATCCTTACTTTGATATCCTCGTCAGTTCCGCTTGTAGTTTAAACAATGTTTCCCAGGTAGGTAAAGGAGGTTGTTTCTTCCAGGTTCCTACCATTTATGCTGGCTGATTGTTGTCTGCCGTTGTTGTTGTTGCTGTTGGTGTTGCCCAGAAATCTTCATCATTACCGTTTTCTCTATATTCACCTGAATTCCTTTTTTTTCTCTGGATGCCTCTTCTGCTTACTTGTTGATTTTCACTTGCATATCTTCCACTTTGTGGGAAATCAGATATGAATATATCATCGGCGAAGTCCAGATCCTCCAAGTTTTTCGTGAGGGTCCATTTTATACCTGTTTCCTGGCTGCCTGTTGTCTGTAACATTATCCAGTTTACCGGAATCAGGGCAATCATTGGCGATAGTAGGCAGCCGTGTCTTACTCCCATCTTTACTTTGAAGGCTTCCGTATGTTTCCTGTTGTGGATTACTTGGCATGCAGCATTGTCGTACAACTGTTGGATGATATGTATAATTGTCGGAGGCACCCCGTAGTAGCGAAGTGGTTGCCAAATCACCTCTCGATCGACGCTGTCGAAAGCCTTTTCAAAGTCGATGAAGTTGAGTGAATTGGATAGGTGACTGCCATTCCAAGCTCTCTTCAATGATAATCTGTAGTTTGGCGATTTGATCAATACATAACTTGTTACTCCTGAATCCAGCCTATTCCCATTAAATTAATCCCCAACTCCATTCAATTAAATTCTGATAAGTATGTGACAAATATATCATCGATTAAACTCTTAGTACATGGAAAGGAGGTGCTATCACTTGGTTTCAATTTTTCTATCCCATTGAAAACAACATTTCAGACTTAGCAATTGATTCTCATTTTGAAAATTTGTATGATTGGTTGAGTTCTATAACTCCTTCCTCGACAGATGACCAAAGTTGGTTGAAGGCTAAATTTGTATATATAGCACATCAATTCCGTAATTCAAGTCGGAAACAAAAGAGCATTTTAACGTCAACTCATTTTAAAGCCCTAAAGGAATTACGTAACAGATTCGATTTAGTTATTCTGAAACCCTACAAAGGATCTCGTGTAGTTGCAATGGATAGAAGTGATTATAAAACAAAAATGTTATCCATTTTTAATGACAAAAGCAAATGCATAGCTGGTGCTTTTTGCTGATGACATCAGAAAAGTGGAAGGAAAAGTAACTTTGCACTTGGTACAATTTTGTGGCATGGATATTATCGATAAACAGGAGTTTAATTCCTTGAAATTCATGGGATCTTGCTTTTTAAACCTTTATGGATCACCCAAGATTCATAACGTTGATAATCCATTACGTCCAATTCTTTCAATGTGTAACTCTCCTACACATAAATTAGCAAAATGGTTAGCTGATATTTTAAGTCCAATACGCAATGAGTTATGTAAGTGTACTTTGAAAGATACATTTGAACTTGTTGACTGTCTTGTAGATATGAACATAAAAGATAGAAAAATGCATTCATTTGATGTTAATTCTTTGTTTACCAATGTACGATTGATTAAGACTGTTGATATTCTTTGTGGCTATATATCTTCTAGTTGTTTCTTATTTCCTTTTCCTTTAACTTATTTGAAAGATTTATAACTATTATGTACTGATAACGTCCATTTCACGTTTGAAGGTGAACATTTTTGGCGAGTGAATGGTGTTGCTATTCGGAGTCCTTTGTTAGCGGACGCTTACATGTCTTATGTTGAAAACTTGTCCCTTGATTTAATTTGTAAATTGCCTTTCTATAGGATATATGTAGATGATACCATCTTGATAAGTGACGATCATGAAGACGTGAGTCGTGTATTACATACGCCTAACTCTACACAGAATCATATGAGTCTAACATGAGTGGAAGATAGTTGCAACCAGCTTTCATTTTTATACATACTTCTTAGTCGAAGAGATGATGGTTCAATTAGACGATCAATCTACAGAAAGCCCACTTGAAGAGTGCAATACCTTAGTTTTCACAGCCTCTGCCCATTACAGTATTAGAGAGGCTTGGTGAAATGCTTATTTAAGAGGATTCAGCTTATTTGCACGGCTTATGTTATAGACAAAGAAAACGAAATATTGATGGATACTCTTGTTGAAAACGGATATCCTTTAAAATTTTTAAACAGGTGTAGAAGTGAACTAGCCTCTAAACCTACAATCCATACCGCTCCTAAGAAAAATGTTTTCATCAAATTACCATATAACGGGGAAATAAACAGTTGGATTTTGAGACAAAGGTTGAATTCGATCGTCCGTAGAACCTATTATGCAGTCCGGCTTGTAATTATCGAAAAACCCAAAAACATGCTCTACTGCAAACCTCAAAAGTGTACAAGTGGTTATGTTACATCCCATACTATTAACCAATTTTCGTGTGTGTGTGGACACAAATACATAAGGAAGAGTAATCGTGCTTTGTATCTAAGGGTGGGAGAGCATATCCCAAAATGGGTAAAAAGACAGATGAATTGTGGAAATTCAATAGACTCAGGTGTCAGACTACCAACTTCGTCTATAGTCAAACATCTAATCGAGATGAACCGTAAGACTGATGTAAGCACAGCCTTTTAAGGTCATCTATAAAAAGGTCAAGGGAGCTTATTAAAATATGCGGAGGCTATGGCTATTCATAAACTTAAGCCCCCTGTGTGTGTTCAAAAACAGTTTATTATTACTCACAACCTGCCTTGATAATCCTTATTTAATTGTATTGTCAAACGTCCCTTTGTTTAATTTAATTACCCCTAATTTTTCACACATATATCGACTTGACAAGTGAATGTGTAAGGGATGAGATTATTCGAAATGTATAACACAAATACATCACACTGTTTTTCAGATGATCTCCGTCTTCTAATAACAATATCCAAATTTTTAAAAAAGGGACTAATTGTTTTATGCATGAATTTTGAATGTTTTAACTCAATAACTCATTTGTATAGAATTTCTCAGATAATAATAGAGAGACAGCTTAAGAGCCAATTTAATTTCTTATTTTCAGGATATTTATTTGACGAACTGGATTGGTGTGATAAACACTTCACAGGTGATGCAGACTATGGGACAAAGTGTGGTTGTAATGAAACCACTAAAGTGGTATTTGCATTCTGGGAAAGCGCATCTAAAAAGGTACATCTTTACAACTTTTATTGCATTTCGAATTTTTTCAATTCCTTTACGTTCCCAGTGGAACATACCGCTTCAAAATACAGGCTTGAAGTTTCTGTAGCAGTGGTACTAATTTTTACAGGACTGGGGTTGCTAGCCAGTCTCATTCCAATCTTCCCTCTTTACCAGCCTTAATACTGGGTTAGCGAAGTGAAGGAGTGCGTAGGTGGCCGCGAATAGAACTCCGAACCATATGCGGCATGGTCGATAAGCATTCTATCGTTGTGCCACCGACGCTTCAACTAATTAATTTAATTAATTTTTCCTTCACGTTCCCAGTGGAACATAGGGCTCCAAGCTAGTGGCTTGAAGTTTCTGTGGCAGTTGTGATTATTTTTACAGGATGAGTTGCTAGCCTCATGCCCAACCTTCCCTCCGCAAGCTGTAAATAAAAAAACCAGCACTTTTTCTGGCTTAACGAGGTAAAGGAGTGCGTCAGCCGAGGATCGAACCCCAGACCATGCGCACTGTCGGCAAGCGTTCTAACCGCTACGCCACCGACGTACTTTAACTATAGTCAAATTTATATTTATAAAATGTACGCTCACGCTTTCATACTCTCAAATTTGACCATTTTCGACCCAGTATGTTTAGTCGAATGAAACACTTTTGAACTACTTCAGTTAGTTCCGCTAAGATTTCTACAAACGTAACTTTCCCAAATCTAACTTTCTTTCGTGGTCAGTATCTGGAGAAAAATTAGGTCAAATCTTGATCACATTCCACATGATATATATATATATATATATTTAAGGGAGTTTTTTGAGACACGCATAAAAGACAAGTGAAATAAGATGTAATCTTATTGTCTACACCAGCCTGTATTAGATTTGAAGGCAGAAGACAACAAAGCAGAAACGCTTTCTAATTAAATTAAGGACTTGCTATTTATAAATAGAAGATCCACCTCCATTACGTCATAGTTGAGAGGTTAAAATAGTGTGTTTATAGCTATATCTTTTCTGTTATTTATTCGTTTAAACAACTGAATACGTCTATATCAGTTGGAACGAGCATGGAACTTCATCTAACCTTTTTTTACATCAATTACTTCTCCTTCCTCATCATAATTTTCTGTGACATTTACAAACATTGAAAAAAATTATAAGCAAGACAAATTAGGATTTCACCAGTAGTATTGGTTGGACACTAGTCAATAACTACTGTAATGCGTCTAGTCCTTTGTTTTGGTGCACAGTGAATTCTATCACACAAGAGTGTAATGTAGCCAACATGCTAGATGGATCTCAGTCACGGTGAACTACAAAATTGTTCATGTTACATAGTGGTAGGCAATTGTCAGGAAGCCTTGAATTTAGGTTTCGGGCTTGTTAGCACACGGCACTGATAACGCGCCACTTAGTATGGCAATCACGTTACAAAACATGACTGACAGAATTCAGTCTGTACCGAACAAAGACCCATACAGTCCAAAAGAGGTCAGCCGCCAGACCGAATAGCTCAGTGGTAACGTCTCTGACTGCAGCACTCACTGACTAATCAAGGTTCGAATCTCAGAAGAGACATGAGTTACATAAAGGTGACTGCAGGTACGCCTTGCTGACTTGCGAGTGCCAACTAGCACCTAACTTTGGTCCCAGGCTTCCTATCGATTGCAGTATGCTTATCTGTTTTCTCATTTCTCACTAGTAATGATGAAAGTACAAAGAGTTTGATAATATACTGACATTTAATGTATTTTCAAATGTTTGCACTTTTATTGTTAGCTTGTTCGGAACAATAATTGTAGCCACACACACTGGAATCTCACTTCCTATTTGCTGTATTTTCCAGAGCAGAAAATAAAATAAGTATTCCTAGGCTCAACCTTTCTCATTTTCAGCATTTATCACTCAAACAAGATATAAAACACATCAGAAAATGTCCTATTTAATGTTTCTTCATTCTATGAAAGTTAAACAGATTCTATGCAAATTAAAACACTACTCTTATCCTCTCGTTTCATTATAGTATGCACAAGAAGTATCTGGTAACGTGTTTGTTGTTTTGAATGGATCAGTCGCATGGCCATTTAAAGAAAACGGGTAAATTCTATTGATTTGACTGTATTCAGCAGTATATTCATGTTTACTGTAATTTTGGAGGTTGGAGGAAAGTTAGATCGCATAAGTCACCCAAGAGGTCTCTTGTCGTAACTTCACTTCAAATAACAAGGTGGAAAAAATCAGTGAATGGCATTTTCTCACATACACTTCCACTTATGTCGTTACTATCCTCCATTGACCTCTGATCTTTGATGTCAGATAGCATTGTATAAATATACATAAACCCTTAAATAGTTGTACATCTCTGAAGGAAAGTTACAAGGGGATATCTGTTTGTTGACTTATGTATTCTTAATTACGTTGTTTGAGAGTGTGTCAAACCTATCGGTGATAAGTGGTACGTATACATATTATTATTAGGCTATTAAAAACAAGTCATTGCTCCGCATTCACTTGGGATCTGTACTGAAGCAAACAGAGAAATACTATTTGTTAACTGGCCAACATTTACTCTATAGTGAAAGGGCCTAATAAATACTGAAATTCACTATTAAATTACCTTCTCAGTATTTCTGTAAAATAAGTTTTATAATTTATTGCGAACTGTTTTTCCGAGACAGTTTGTCCTATGCTTAAGAGATACATTAAAGTTAGTGGAAAACGAGTGATTATGGTTCTACAAATGGTGTTCTTTCTGGATCTGCAATCTAAATCCACGCGTGATTCATCATGATGGTGTGATGTAATCCAATATTATCACGTCCTTATCTAAAAGGTACTGATCTCCATTTCTGTCTTTAACACTGGTGCTTTATTTCATGTGGTGGTAGTGAAAGAAGTTCATATATTAAACTCTTGCTGTGACAAAGTAAAGACCTCTGAAGTAAGATATTTATTTAAATGTCAAGTAGCGTAGACAGTACAGTGTAACAACAAACGAAACCAATAAAGCAACATATCACTACTTCTACTACTACTAAGAACCATTTATTTACTCATCAAACGGTTAGGCAACAGAAATCTGAATACATAATGGTATCTTTATAAACTGTTATTTGACATCATTGAAAGGTCTTCTGTTCTCTGAAAAACATGTAGTATGTCTTGGGGTTTATTAATAAATTATCTAAGATGTTGAAGGTTAACTCGATGTTATCAGTTACGGCTTTATTAATCAAAAAAAACGATAACTTCACAAAATCGCGACTGATATTCCCTCCACAAGACATGGCTGTCTTGTTCCAGTGGCGAATTGACTTAGTTTACGGCTTTTGGAAAGAATGAGATAATATATATGTTATATATATATATATATATATATATATATATGTTATTAATATATATGTTCGCGAAATTTGAAAACTTCACCCAAAATACCCATCCAGACGTGAGTATTAGAACAGAAACGTTCTGCAGAGTCTCTTTTCGAAGGCGAATCCATTCGCACTTTATACATAACCATCCGAGAGAAGCGTGTTCCACTCATAAGATTTAGATATGATGCAGAAGATTTGTAGCTCTGGTAGATGATTTTGATGTGGTTGTGTTCTCTGAGGTGAATAGTTAATTTGAGAAGCTTTCATTACCCTACTAGGCGACATCTTCAGCGCCCATACTTCAATTTATTGAAATGAGCTTTTAGATTTCTCCACGAGTTTATTAATCCCCACTCCTGTTAACCTTGAATGTGATTGGTTGTTTTTTGTGTGTTTTCACATCTTCTAGGTGACTACTTGTTTTGGAACTAATTGTTTCTTTGACTTGAACTGTGACCCTTTGTTTGTAAGGTTTCTTTTTTATGACTTGGTAAATTTTGTCTATCTCTATGTGTCTATTGATTGGTGATTCACTGGAATGCCAAGCTTCTAATAATTCCCTAGAATTCTTGGTTTTCCTCTGTCTAATATTTGAACGTTGTCTCAGTCGAATTGATGCCCGTGGTTGTCGGTATGTAGTGATATGAGCAAGGGAGTGTATGTCATGTCTTTTGATGGTTAGCTTATGTTTGTGGATACGAAGACGAAGGAGACGTCAACTTTGGCTAATGTAGTGTTTTTCCCAGTTGTTACAATTTATTTTGTAGATGATGTTGGTTTTATCTTCTTTCGCTGTTGAGTTTCTTGGGTGACATAGAGCTGAGTGGAGTGACTTCGTTGGTTTATGTGCGACGTCAATTCCTAGAGGTTTGAAGAGCCTTGTAGGGATTTGTGAGAAATCCTTTATATATGGTAGGCCGATTCTCTTTGTGCTTTCCTTGTGGGCTTTTGGTTTGATAGGTTGGCTTGAGGGTATATGTCTTTTGATGAAGTTCCGTGGATATTCATTCTTTTGGAAGAGGCCCATGAGATAACTTTCTTCAATTTTCCCAGAGGTGTGAGTGCTGCAATGTTTCCTGGTTAGCCCTCTTGAATAGTGTTTGTATGCAATTTCTTTTGTGTGTTGTTGGATTGTTGCTGTTGTAATTCAGGATTTGTTCTATGTGAGCTGATTTTCTATAAACTTGAGTTTCTAATTATCCTGTGGTTGTTCACTTGACTAAGACGTCCAAAAATGATATTCTGTTCTCGGATTCCTCTTCTCTCGTGAATTTGATGTCGTTGAAGACGTTGTTTTATCCAACTCGTTTCTTTTGTCTAATGTATCCAAATCTTGGGTTTGATCTTTGGTAGAATTATGTTTTCGAGCCTTGCATAACTGCTTCTGCAATCAAACCTAATATTGACGACCCCATGGGTGTTCCTTTGACATGTTCATATATTTGGCCGTTGAATTGGAAGTATGTTGTCAGGCAGAGGTTCATGCATTCCATCCAGTTTGTGTGTTGCATTTTTGATTGTTTTGGAAGGTCAATTCCTAGAGGTTTGAAGAGCCTCGTAGTGATTTGTGAGAAATCCTTTATATATGGTAGGCCGATTCTCTTTGTGCTTTCCTTGTGGGCTCTTGGTTTGATAGGTTGGCTTGAGGGTATATTTCTCTTGATGAAGTTCCGTGGATATCCATTCTTTTGGAAGAGGCCCATGAGATATCTTTCCTATTTCCTGGTTGGCCCTCTTGAATAGTGTTTGTATGCAATTTCTTTGTGTGTTGTTGGATTGTTGCTGTTGTAATTCAGGATTTGGTCTGTGTGAGTTGATTTTCTATAAACTTGAGTTTATAATTCCTCTGTGGTTGTTCGCTTGACTACTGAAGAAATAAGATAATAATGAAGGGGTTGAAGAAGTTTCTTCAGTGTGCATAAATCAGGGTTTTCTACCTCGATCGCTAGGGCTTCCGTATAGTTCGCATTCCGGAAGCCTTGGGTATAATTGCAAGTTCTATGACTTTGTTAACAATTGTTTGTTTTCTTTTTTTGTTTTTTGTCTTTGTTTTCTTGCTAACCAAACCTTTATTTACTCTTGCAGCCCATTACATAATTGATTTTTTGGACACTCGTCTCCATTAACATCCTATTTCGTATTACGCAACTGTTGTCAGTGCTTATCAATCTTCACCCCACACCCCCGTAGTTACTGATTTGATAATTCATCACATTTAAGAAACATTTTGATGACGTAAACAGTAACCCTAACTGATTTTATTTCATTTTTGTTTGACAATGCTAATGTACACACACTCACATACACAAAATGATTATGTATAAATGCGATTGTACAGCCGTGTGTGTGTGAACGAATTCGCCTTCGAAAAGAGACTCTTCGCTGATCTTTTCTTTTCTTAGTTTCACATTTGAAAAACATGCAGACCGCACAGAAAGTTCCACATAATTAGTACTATCCTACTAATCTTATAAAATTTAAATATTCGCTTAAAAGAGGATTTTAGTATATTCAGATAAAAGTTTAACTTTTGTTATGCGAAGAAGTAAACTTCGCAAATGAGCCGGGAATTCTCATGTTTACATAATAGAATTTACAAATCAACAGACAACGAAAAATACTGCAGGCTTTATCATACAGAAGACAATTCATCGAGGGGAATTTTCATGATCGATGAATTCACCTTTCAAAGGTGTACACTTGTTTTCACATTCGGGTGGTAGGTGGCATGATGTCGCTGACTTAATGAGCTAATAGACAAATTTAGCTTTTCATAAATATGCGTACGAAAGACTTTGAAAGTGACTTCATACATCATAGGTACTTTCTTCCCTGAATCACTTTTTGCTTTATGCATGACCCATTAGGAATTTACTTGGTTTCTTTCAATACTTATACCTTCAAATATATCACATTTTTCTATGTTTCATCCCTATCTCTCCAAGTACCTTTGCCACGGTGGAACTTCCACAAATTACACACACGAAAGTGCAAAAATTAACCGTTAAATTAATTCACAACACACGAAAGTCGCCATATCAGTAAGTTAACTCATTGTGTAATATTATAAGACGAATGTTATGTAATCCTTTTGTCCAATGTTATTTGTTTAAAGTAACACCCGTACCTATTTTAATCACATAACATTTAATTCTGAAAAGTTTTTCTGGTTGGAAAATTTGAAAAGTTCTCTTAGCAACAGTATTAAGCCAAAGTTAAATACTTGTACCTCAAGATTCAAGATTCATTGAACTTAACGAGTAGCGTATTTCTCAAAATAAAGGAAATATGCCAGAGCAAACTTTAAACAGAAGCTTCCAATAAATTTCTTTTGAATAATCTGTCAATATATTTTCCTACAGTTAATAATAATACTCAATGATGCTGCAATCACGTGGCTGATTATCTTAATGGATCATGCTTGCACACTTAGTATAAAATCGACTGCATGCTCATGCTGTAAGGCACTACATGTTATAGGAAATGGGAAACCTCTCTCACTTGGTACTGATGCTCAATAATCAGAAAAAGATGGTCTAAATACCTTTTGCATGGAGGATTTCATCATGAGCTGACATCAGTTAGAGAAACACTGGAAAACCTGGGAGTATTGATCAGCTGTTTCGTCATAGTTTGGAGTTTTCATCAGTACGCACCCACCGGGGTTCGAGCCCAGGACCTTATGGTTACAAGACGAGCTCGTAAACCATTAAACCACCGCTGGAAATTCCCAGACTAGGATGAAACTGCTGTCCAGTACTACCAGATTTTCCATTGTTTCTCTAACTGATGTCAGCTCATGATGAAATCCTCCATGCAATCAAACAGAATCCCTACAAAACGAATACTTGAAAATTAAATACCTTTTATCTAATGTATTACCAATTCAAACAAGTAACTGGACAGAATTCCTATTGACTGAAAGTGACTGACTTTTTTTGAAGCTGGATTAGGCTGAATGCACTACTGATGAGTACAGTTCAATACTAAGGAACTAACGTCTAGTGTATAGGTCACCTAATTCTAGTTAACAAGTATTATGTGTTTACATAGTTTACTTTAAACTGTTAATTAAAATCAATAGGGTAAATCTTTTTAAAATTTCACTTTTTCTCTTCATCTGATTTGTCGTGCTATTCATGTTTCCGACTGAAATGAGGATTGTTTGCCCAATGGAAATAAGTGAACTAGATGGCATAATAATAGCCAGTGGGAATCATTTACTAATTCAATTCAAAGAATAAATGATAATTTGTTATAGTCGGTTAACACAGACTGGAAATTTTCCGGTATACGTTTCTTTTCACCTACTGTTGGTGTTATTCTTATTATTATTGTTTTCTTAGTTTTTCCTAGAGGAACATAGGGCTTCAGCCAGACGTCTTCATTGCGTTCGGTTCTCTGCTGAACGTTTCCACCTGGCTTCACGTCTGCCTACACGCTTTCATCTCCCTTCCGTATCACCTCCGCCATGTTAGTCTCCCACTGAAAACCAACTCGCCACTTCCCATTCAGGTTCCACACGAGAGATAGCCTGGTGTGTGATGTCACTTGATGACTTTCTCAGAGTATGGCGAATCCACCTCCATTTCTTCCTGAATATTTATTGAAAAGTTAGTTCCCAGTGGGTTAGTTCGCTCATTGCCAGAGATCCCTCACTATTGCTGATCAACCCTGGCCGGTCATGTATTCCTGAGTATTAAGCGAATACAGCTGTTGATGAAGGTCTGTAGTTTGTTTGAGGTGCTCTTTATGACGCGCCAAGTCTCTGATCCGTGTAGTAGCATTGACTTTACATTGGAGTTGAAAATCCGGATCTTATTTTTCATTCTGAGTGCTGTTGACCTCCACAGGGACTTGATAGTAATGAAAGTTTATCCTACTTTCTGACGCTCGCTTTGATTTCTTCAACAGTTCCCCTGCAGTTGCAACGGTGCTTCCTAGATCAGGATGTAAAGAAGGTTGCTTCTTTCAGATTTATCCCATTGTTGTCTGTAGTTGTTATTGCTGCTGCTGTTGGCCAGGAATCTTCATCCCTACATCTGTTTTCTCTATGTTCACCTGAAGGCCTACCTCTGACGCTTCTCTATCAACTGTTGCTTTTCACTTGCATATCTTCCAGTTTATAGGAAATCAGACATATAACATCGGCGCGGTCCTATACAGAAGACTAAAGCAGTCTGACAATAAGCTATTCCTGAATTACTTGAAATCTGTTTTGAAGATAGTCACAACTCCTTGGTTTTAAACGATACTCTGTGAGAAAGGAACAACGAGTGATATCGTAATAACTTAGCCCAATAGACGACAGCGTGTCGATGTTCAGCATTTTACAGCATTAACAGAAATAAAGCTGTTAGTATTTTGAAATAATAGAGAAGATTTGCGGCTGAGAGCTGGTTGGTTTAATTGCAAAGCCTTCGTTTTACTTCTGGACAACATCCTCAGCGAAGATTTTGGCAAAAATGAATTGATTTAAATTCTCCATGAATGATAGAATTGTGTCTTCTGGCTACCATCTTCGTGACTGACTGGTAGTCGATTTACATATGTATTGATCATTTGTTATTGATTTGGATTTTGAACTTTCTCGGCTCACGTGACTAACATTTTATTATTTGGTAGATCAAATACTCACCTATGGTAGCAATAAACCAATTGCCCACAAAAGAAACTCTGTGCAGACAGTGTTTGGTAGAGTTCAAACACACTGTAACACTCCAGTTTTGAAGAGAATAGAGGGGAAAATACCTAGTAACAGTCTTCAAAAAGAATGAATATCTCACAATTTCATCAAAAGTGTTAAAACTCGAATCACAACACCAAAGAGAAACCATCATCAAAAAACACAAGAAATTAATCCTGTAATATACAGAAAATATCAATAGAGATGTAAATCGACTACCAGTTATGAAGACAGTTGCCAGGAGACATAATTCCATCATGCATGGAGAATTCAAAATGAGTTCATTTTATGCTAAAACTTACGCTGAAGGAAGATCCTGTTTTCAGAAGAACGATGAATGCTTTGCAATTAAACCAAACCAGCTCAGAGAACATAGCTTATCCCTAAGGTTATAGATGTAGTAACCCGAAAACTTGCTGGTAGTCGTAGAAACAACCTGGCGACTTATTTCAATGTATATTATGTTGTGCTTGTTCTATGTCTCCCTAATTCTCTTTCTTTGTAGTCATACTTGTGAATCGTCGAATATTAAAAAGCTAGAGTCTCTAGTGAAGTCGAAAATGATCAATTATCAGTGTATTAATGATCCACCGTAAGTTCAAAGATAATGAGTTTTTCAAACTGTAAATCTTATCCATATAAGTGTAAAACTTGGGCACTGTGGTAGTAAGTAATTCCATATTAGTTTGTTTGTTAGATGTATAACACACAGTGTGAAAAAGTATTATTTACTGGATGATGAGGTTTCCAACAAAATGTATTGTTCATAACCATCTCATCAATAATAATCACACGACTTCAAAACTTCAATTTTATAGTTTTCTTTGTCCGCTCCTATTTGTCGTCGTTGACGTAGCAGAATTTTCCGGATATCACGGACAGGTGATGAATCACTCCGTATTACACGTATTCGCCGTTGCTTCGAAAATAAAGCTTCTGTGATCAATGTCTCCCCCCACCTCTGTGACATTAGATTTTAAAACTGTCATCTTATCCCATCCATCCTATTGTATGGTTGTGTGTAATTGCATGTAGTGAGTGATATAGCTGAATTATTCTCCAGATTTCATATCTTATTCGGATCAAATAACCTATATTTTGCTTGGTTTTTATGTTCGGCTAGTCTGACTGCCCCTGTTCTACTACTTAGACTGAGGTATTTGTCCTGACAGTCACTGCAGACAGGGTATAGATAAACTAAATTGTTTTGTTTTAAAGGCTCCACTGTCAGATTGTTCCTTTAACCAACAAAGCTTGTTTCTAATTGAGTTTGTGGGTTTGAATGCCAGCCACTTTCATAACTGCCTTGTTAAAAATCCTCCGCCGTAAGGTTCCCGAGGTTCCTTCCTTGTATGGGATTACTACTGTTAATTTAGATTCCTTAATGTTGGTGTCGTCATTAATATGATTATTATCACTATATTATCATTATCATTACTAGTGTTATCATTATTATTGTGCGTTGGTGGCACAGTGGTTAGGACTCTCATCAACATGCACATGGTCCAAGGTTTGCTCTCCTACCGGCGAACACCTGATATCTATGTTCGGCCTACAAAATTTGGGCTACCGATATCCATGCTGAAAATTCCATACTTGTACCAAAAATACGGTGTGGAATCAAGCTGTAATCAAAAATAAATAAAATAACATTGAATCAATAATAGTAACGATAGTATCAATGGATTACAGTTCAATAGCATCAACATAACAATACACTGAATATCAGAAAAATTAGGAAAGATAATAATGCAAAGTCATGAAACAGTATTATTTACTAGATGACACAGTTTCGAACACAATTCACTTATTGTTCATAATCCTTTCATCAATCATAATCACACGACTTCAAAACTTGAGTTTTCTTTGTTCTCTCCTATTTGTCCTCTTTGAGGTAGTAGAATTTTCCAAATGTCCACCTGAAAGGTGTTGAATCATTTCTATTGCACTTATTTGCAGTTGATTCGATAAACGAAACCGCAGTCGGTTATCAGTCTCTCACTCCACCCAGCTGTGACATTAGATTTTAAACTGTCATTTTATTCCACCATCCTTTGCTGCTTGGTTGTTTGTAATTGCATGTAGTGAGTGATATAGCTGAACTTTTCTCTAGATTTCTTATCTTATTCGGGTCAACCAATCTACATTTAATCATGAGCTGACATTATTTAGAGAACCATTGGAAAACCTGGAGTACTGGACAACTGTTTCGTCCTAGCTTAGGACTCTTCAGCAGTACGCACTCACCGACAGCGTTCAAACCCAGGACCTTTTGGTTATTAGGCGAGGTTGTATACCATTAAGCCACTGGAACCCGATCCAATGGCCAGCCAATGAATTCTAACTTCCGCCAATTCACGACATAGCGCGACCCTAGCCAATGTCTTCGACGAGTATTTGTCCTCACACCCGACCTGCTGCACCCTACTGGTCACGACTTCTCACTAGAACCTGGGTTCGAATCCCGGTGGGTGAGTACTGTTGAAGAGTCCCAAACTAGGACGAAACAGCTGTCCAGTACTCCGAGGTTTTCCAATGGTTCTCTAAATAATGCCAGCTCATGATGAAATCCTGTAACCAATCAAATCCCTACAACCCAACATTTGAAAATCTAGATTTTGCTAGGTTTTTATATCCTCTAGTAGAACAGGGGCAGTCAGACCACATGCAATTACACACAATCATACAATGGGATGGGATAGGGTTACATTTTTAAAATCTAGTGTAACATCTGGGTGAGGGAGTGATCGATAGCTAACTGTGGTTTTATTTATCGAATCAACTGGAAATACATGTAATAAGAATGATTCAACACCTGTCACCCCGATATCTGGAAAATTCTACTACGTCAACGACGACAAATAGGAAAGGACAAAGAAAACGATGAAAATGAAGTTTCGAAGTCGTGTGATTTAATTGATGAGATGGTTATGAACAATACATTTTGTTGAAAACCTGGTCATCCAGTAAATAATACTTTTTCACACTGTGTGTCATACATCTAACAAACAAACTAATATGGAATTACTTACTACCACAGTGCCCAAGTTTTATGCATATGTTAACAAATTCGTGAATTTATAGTCTTCACGAAATGCTGGGCAGGACAGTAGCAGTAGCTGGAGTTGCTTTGTTTGCACAAAAAGCACTGATTGTTTCACGGAAATAGCGATAGCCTCTGCCGTTGGAGTATGCGGTACCTGGATGTTTTCGGCAATTTATTTGGTACCCGGTAGATGATTGTAGAGATGGATTCTTCAATGTTGGCTTGCTTTGTGGCCGGTTAGTTTGGACTAGGTGGTCTTATGTCGAAGTGTTCATGGATTTTGCTACACATTTACTTAACCATACTGATAGATGTTCCCGAGTCAGTACGAAAAATCAAGTCCTTAGAGCAACACTAGAAGATGAACATGATTCGATTCGATTTGCCTAGAAATGGATTGTATGTTTTCTTGATTTACGTTTTCTACATGTTTTGTTTCTTCAGTGAATTCAAACACTTCTTATGCATCAATGATCAAATCAGCAGTGAATGTCGATTTTCAAGTTCTTCAAGACGTACATCATACACGCATCTACTGCTGTCGAGTTGTTTATTCCTCTATTACACCTTCAGCGTCTTCAGTAGCATAAAATAATCCTATTCTTATGGATAAATTTTATTAAGCTATTCAGATTTTACTTTTGTTGTTCGTATGCAGAGTTCATCTTCCATAGTGTAAGACATCTCATTTGTTCAAATTCTCTCATTTTTATAAATGAAACTTGTCATATTTGAGTTTGTGATAGCTTTTTGAACAAATATAATCAGACTGTTTTGTTATCTTTGTGATTTCATTCAACTGAACTTCACTCTTTGACTTATTAAAATAAATCCATTCCATTCATTTTGCAAAATGTTTTACTTTTGTACTAATATCTTGAACCTTCTTGAAAAAAAAACCGGTAGCAGTGGCTTTTTCTTCAAATTATCTTAAAAGTTTGTTAATTTAATAACTTCACAAAACTGTGGTGATGACTTGGAGTTTTTTTTTATTAATATGCTTGAAAAATGACGTGTTTTAAGTGATTTTAACACATGTCACTCAAGATACTGTCAAGTACTGCAAGAATGAGACAGCAGTTAGCATGAAATTTGATATAACTGGTCGATGAAAAATACCATTTGCTGTCGTATTTTCACCATCCCCCCTCAAACTCAATACTTCGACTGAAATAATACCGACAAGTCTTCAAATATGTAAATTATTAATGAATTATTATGTGGTAGCATCAACTACGTTGGAGTAAACCAGACAAGACAATGAACACTACATCATATTTTATGCTCAAGATACTATCATTCAGTGTACACTTATAGGCATCGGTGGCACAGCGGTAGAATGCTCGCCCATCACGCTTCATGTTGTCCGAGGTTCAATCCTAGGCCACTGGCACACTGCTTTTACCTCGCTAAGCCAGTAATGAGACTGGTAAAGAGGGAGGTTGGGCATGAGGTTAGCAACCCATTCGATAAAAATAAATACCACTGCTACTGAAACTTGAAGCCATATGTTCCACTAAGAAAGTAATGGAATAAAAAAGTACACTTATAGAAATCTTCGTCTACTGATTGCAAGTAAAAACATTATCTAAAGTATTTAGTCAATTTCATTAGGTATTGACTACCCTTTAACTTCTAACTAAAACATAAATACACTTTGTTCCTACCGCTGAAAAATGATTTCTTTATATATTACGTGGATAATCATTGTATAACACTAACTGAGGTTAACATTATAATTATCGTGTAATATTTATTCCGCCAAAAGAACCATCATGGTATTATCACGTATCAGAAATGTCTTGGTGACTAAAAGGAGGTTAATTCAAGCTCCATTTTTAATTTGAGTTAATTTATGAGGTTCAGAGTATATCCAGTCAATGTGACATATACATTATTTGGTAAAATATATTTAACCTGTTGGAAAGAAGTGTGTTGTATAAACTAAATGCACAGTAATTTTGGCAATAGCTTCAGAACTATCGACTGCATGACATCTATGTTGTGATATCATATACCAAGTGATCTCCAGCAGAAAGCTAACCAAGGAATCTAAGGGGGAGACAGAAGAAATATAAGGTTCGAGTGTTGGCTAGCAGGGATTTGGTTGGTTTCAGGATTTCATTATGAACTGACATCGGATAGAAGAACATTGGAAAGCCTGGGGGCACTTAAAAGCTGTTTCATTCTAGTTTGAGACTCTTTATACACTGACAGGGTTCAAACCCAGGACCTTCTGGTTACCAAAATAAGTTTGTCTACTATCACTGACAATATTCTTGATCAGTCGACAGATAGTGCGTGGGGACCGAGGACATGGATATGAATTTGACTGATAAACTTCAACTACGTTGATGTGAACCATGCAAGATAATAAACACTACATAATATCCCACACTTTAGTCATTATCTTATAGTATACACTTATAGGAATTTTCGTCTGCTAAATTTTGTTTTATTCTTTCACGTTCCCAGTGTAACAAGGGTTTCAAGCTAGAGGCTTGAAGTTTCTGTAGCAGTGTTTATTTTTGTAATTAATAGTGTTCTTTGAGCTGGTTGGTTTAGTTGCGGATCTTTCGTCGTCCTTCTGGACAACATCTTAAGCGCAATATTTAGCATAAAGTGAAATGATTTAAATTTCTTTATGAGTGATATTATTGTGTTTCCCGGTAACCATCTTTACACATGTGTTGACCATTTTCTATTGACTCGGATTTTAAACTTTCTGGTCGCATGATTTACTTTGTATTAGTTAGTATATTTGGTCTATATTAACGTGTTTGTTGTTGATTGCATAATCGTTTAAGCACCAGGCTTCTAGGAATTCTCTGACTGCACTTTTGGTATTTCCTCTGTCTAAGATTTCGATATTATCGCAGTTATCAAACTGATGTCCATATTTGTCTATATGCATTGATACTAAAGAACACATATCGTGTCTTTTAATGGCTGATTTGTGTTCATGGATTCTAATTCGAAAGAGTTGCCCAATTTGGTCGATGTATTGCATGTCACAGTTCATACAATTAATTTTGTAAACGGTGTTAATTTTATCTCCTTTTTCTGTTGGATGTTTTGGTTTGCATAATATCGAATTGAGCGATTTGACTGGCTTGTGTACTATATCTATATCAAACGGTTTCAGTATTTTAGCTGTTATTTCAGAGATATTTCTCATGTATGATAGGATGAATTTCCTTGGGGTCTTTGATGATGGTTCCTTGATGGTGTTGTGATTCGATTTTAATCACTTTTGATGAAATTTCGTGGATAACTATTCTTTTAGAAGACCGTTTGTCTGTTTGAACTCTTTTGAACAATGTCTGCACCCAGTATCTTTTGTGAGTCATTGGATTATTGCTAGTATAGTTGAGTTTTGGATCTATGTGCGTTGATTTTCTATATACTTGCGTTTCTAAATTTCCTGTGTTAATTCTCTTGATTAAGACATCTATAAATTGGATGTTGTCATCTCATTCTTCTTCTCTTGTGAATCTAACGTCTTCAAATATGTTGTAGATATATTCTAAATCATTTCTCTCAATTATTACAAAGGTATCATCAGCGTAACGTACGCAGATTTTCGGTTTAGTTATAGGTAGAGCTATTAATTCTAATCTTTGCATGACGGCTTCAGCTATCAATCCTGACATGGGCGATCACATTGGTGTTCCACCGTCCACCTGAGCTACAAATCTTCTCTAGTGTTTATTTTTACAGGATGGGGCTGCTAACCTAATGCCTAATCTTTTATATTTACCAGCTTCATCACTGGCTTAGCGAGGAAAAGGGGATCGAACCCTGGACCATTCGCATGGTCGGCGATCGTCCTAACCTCTGTGCCACTGACGTACCGTTTGCTAACTGCAAGCCAAAAATTATCTCATGTCTTTAGTCAGATGCGTTAGATAGTGACTACCTTTCAACTTCTACTTAAAACACAAATAAAATTTGTTATTGCTGCCAGTAAACGCCATCTTTATGTATTACCTGGCTGTTCTTCATATCACGCTAAATGTAATGTTTGTCGAAAGACCCACCATGAGATTGAATGACACGAGCACTAGTTGACAGAAGTTATTGTTCATGGATCAATGGATTCAAGTCTGGTGACTGGGTAATCAATCGGTTAGTATAGAAACGCGATGGATTTTGATTCTGTTCTTGGCGAAAGTCATCACAGCTGAATTCTAGAGAGCCCCCAAACTAAATCAAAATAGCTGTTCACTGCTCTTTGTTTTTCACTGTTCCCTCATGTAGACTTTTGACAAAATATGCCCTGAAATCAGTTAAACTCCCATAATTCGATTGTCGAAGATACACTGCGTTATTTGTTTTTAATATACTCTGCTTGCTAGAATTATTAAAGAGACGGTTGCAGCAAAGAAAATGTTCTTTTCGATGAAGTCATCAACTAGGCTACTTCAGCATGTACACACTAGTTCACTTGCTTGTGTGGAGCTGAGTACATTGCCCGTACCATGTGTTGGCTAGTAAAACGTGCTGAGGAACACTAACCAGCATGATTAGCAAACGGAGAACGCTAGGGTGTACACAGTTCGGTAACAGAACATCTGATAAATTCATTTCCATTTGAAAATTCCTTCAAGTTCGGATCAAACCTGTCAAAGGGAGTAAACTCAAGGCAACTAGGAATAGCTGAGGCACTGGCTATCCGAAAACTTAGGCTCACGCTGTGCATTCAAAAGAAATACGTCCAATCGTTGTACCTACCATGACTACCATGAAAAGTTAATGTCATCAAAAGTGATTACCCTACTACCTTTCTCATCCAGCCTTCCTGTTTATTTCTGTCATTTACACGTTTTTAATTCCTGTCTGCATTACTAGATTTGTTAGTTTTTAGCTTTTAATATCTGAACTTCCTCTCTGTCTTGCTATTACTACGTTTTTAACAAGTAATTGTAACATCAACCAGATTTTTCAGGAGTTATGATTTTATTATGTCTCTTCTACCCAACCCTCCTGATTATTACACCTTTTAATTTTATTAATTCAACGTTCGACCAAAAATAATTCTGGAACTCTCTTACACACTAACGATAAACAAACGAATGTATATCTATCTAGTTGATGACTTCGTCTTAAAGAAAATTTTCTTTTCTGCAACCGTCTTCTTTAATAATTCCTACGATCCTGCTGGTATATTCCGTAATTTATTGTAAGAAAACCAACTTGCGAACGCCTACTAGACAGATATGAACGGGAAATCTCCTCTAAACTATTTAATCACAATATTCTTACTTAATTCCACCTTTCAACTAACTATATAATTGTTATCCTCTTTTACCTTAGACGGTATGTCAATGTTCTGATGTCTGCCTATTATATGTTGATTTGATCCTTACTGCTGATCGTCTTTGTTCTTGCTTATTCTTAAATTTTAATGCTGTTTCAAGTAGTTGTGCGATACATCAATAATGTGTTGTTTTATGATGTGACTTTGTTCGAGTGAGTCTAGGTCGTTTTAACCTTGAACTTTCTAGAGCAGGCGTTGGTGTGTTATTCTTGTGGACTGAGGTTTTGGTCCTACTATCATGGGAATATTCTACTTGATTCTTACGTACTTCTTACGGTTGAATTTTGGTTAAATAATTTTGTTCTACAGAACTCTTGTTGTACTTAGTATGTTACTTTGTCTGCATAGCTGCCTAACAGGACTGTTGAGGTAATTTTGATTTCTTGATATTATTATTGTTGAACAGAACCACTTAGATTTATCGATGAATCGTAGAAATCAAGGAGGAAACATCGTAGTGGTTGGCAGAGAGCTCTCAAACGCACACCAATACACTTAACTACGGTCCCTGTCCTAATGAACACAAACTGCCGCTCTCTGCCAAACAAGATAATGTAACTACAATCTCTGATGTCCACTGACACTTATCATAATACTGCCATAATCACAATACAAGAAACGTGGTTACATGAACTGTATGGTGACTACCTTATCTCACTAAAGGACTTCATTTTATTTAGACAACACAAATGCTGAGAATTCCATTCTGTATCACAAGTACTGTTTTGGAATAAAGCTAATTATTATTAGAACGCAGAGATCGCTCTGCTGTATTCAAACTCAACGAGTTTGTTTTGGTCGTTACACTAACTGAGGTTAACATCATGATTATGGCGAAATATCTAGTCAGCAGAAACCCCCATTATGGAATTGTAAAATATATTATCATGTATCAAGAGATTGATTCTTCTATATTATGCAGAAACTTGACACATGTGTCATCAAAACCTTTTTGAGTGGGCTTCAATAGGCTTTAATCAACAGATCGGTTCACTCAGTACTGAAGATCAGATGGTCAGACTGGAGGGACAAGAGACAAAGGACCAGCCAAGAGTCTACGACCGGCCGAACAAATATCCACACAGTTATGGAGACTAATTAGATATAAGCTGAGGTGAACATCAGGAAAAATCACACGTGAATCCCTGGATTAGTACTGAAGTCGGAAATGAGGGGCTGGAAGTCCAGCAGTGACATTAAGACCATGTACGACTTATATGAAAGCTTCTAAGCAGACTTGAAGCCTGTTAAAAATCGGTAGCAGTAAACAGAGTGCAATGCAGACGCTCTACTGAAGCCTTACGTTTCACCTAGAATACAAGGAATTAACATAATTATTATTTTCACACGAATTATTTTGATTATAATCAGCAAAATGTACCAAACATGTCATTCAGTAAA